AGGCCATTTTTTCAGTTCCTTTTTTGGGCTTGACAAAACTTTCTCCAACAGGATTATAAACAAAGCTTTCATTTTAACACTAGGATAGATGATGAATTATGTAACTCATTGGGTCATGATTTAATGTTGGGTATTTAGGTAACACTGTTTCATTTTAATTTGCTTTGTTTCCATATAAGCATTAAAGTATTCTGTAGTCCAATATTACCTAAATCCTGTTTCTAATTTTTATTGTTTACTGAGTACTCACTCTTTCCTAGGCATTTATCATATATTTTTTCTTATATTATCTTTATATTATGATTAGAAAATGAGGTTTTGAAAGAGTAATTTATTTGTCAAAGATCCCATACAATGTTCAAAAGAGATTTGAAACCTGGTATGACCACTCCGAATTTCATGCTCTTAAACTATATGCTATACTACTTATGAATAAAAATCATAATTATGTTTGTAAACATAATGATAAGAAAGTTTATTTCTATATTCATTGTGATGTAATTTCAGCATTGTAAAAATTATAGAGCCATTGAATATGAACCTATTCATTGAATTTGACACCTCAACTTATAGCAGGTATATTCCTGAGTTAATTTACTTTCCTTATATAAGTAAAATTGCCTTAATAAAATTTTCTAAGATTGCCTTTTCATTTATTTATCATTTTTTTTCTTTTTCTTTTCTTTTTGGTTGCTCAAAACATTGCAATGAACTTGACATATCATATATCATACATTTAATTCAAATGGGGTATGAATTCTTATTTTTATTTCGTGTACAGACTGCAGGATCACATTGTTTATACATCTACGTTTATACATACTGCCATACTAGTGTATCATCTTCCTCAACAATATGCGCTGAGATTTCTCTAACAGGGAATATTCTCTAACAGGGGTAAATGATAAAAATAATAGAGACATTGCCAAGGGTTACCACATAGGCACACGCCTAGATCATCTTGGTCCAAGTTGGCTCTACAGATACATATCACTAGGAGATATGGCAGGAAAAGGTCAGAAAGGCAATGCCTTTCTGGTCAAGAAAGATTCCCAAAGATACAAGTACACGTAACCATTATATAAAACAATTCTGTAACACTGACCTGCTGAGACAGACTGTTTTCCAAGTTACTGACCAAAACAAAGAATGAAGCATGCTTTCCAAGAGAGGACCATGTTTCTTGCACCACCACAAAGGATGTGGAGGTCACTCAGTCTGTGCACTGAAAAACTAAATTTACTGAATGCCAATTAAATAATCTAATGATTTCTAAAACTGAAAATAGGTCTTAATATTCTACTGAGATCTTCAAAAGTCAAAACTTCTAGACTAGTGGCTAAAGAAAGGCCAAGCTTTGTTACCTAAGTTGCATTGAACTGCACTATCCATAGCCCCGGAATATTTTCTTTAAAAGAGGGAATGGATCAATGGTGCTTAATATAAATTAGTCATCTTTTCCATGTATTTCTTTCCATGCTTCTCTAAGAATTAATTGTGTTCTAACTCTGTACCAGTCACTGTCGTGGCTATACACAAGAACATTTAAGTTGTAGTCCCACATTGGTTTTCAGAAGATTCTGTGCATTTCAAAAATAGATGGTGAAGGAAGTACTACTGAAAGCCCTCATAGAGATCCTACCAGTAATATATGTAGAAATCACTTTCTGATTTGCTCACTATAATTAGAAAATGACATTTGAAAGTTATAATCTTTTTCCTTTTTGTCCCACAATAAAAGTCATCAAAAGCCTTTGAAAGAATATGATTTTATTTCTAAGGAAAAATGTGATGTAGCTTTATTAGCATTCTTGAGAGGAACATAAATGTAACAAATTAAAAATATACTTTATAGAGAACCCCATGAAATATAGCAAGAAAAATTTTGGTTTATAATTAACCCATGTTTCTGAAAATATAGAGTCTCATTTTAATAAATATGGATTTTAAATAATGGGTTCTAGGAACTACAGTTGTAGTAATACTTTGATTTATTTTTATAGTTGTTTACTATTGGAAAAACACATGTTCCTGTCAAAGCACATCAAATTAATGAACAAATTTTATATGCAGAGCTCAATAAATATCCTCTTGCAAGCTGTACTCATTTTCAAAATATAACAATGAATTCATTAAAAAACAAAAATTCAAGGGGCTGGGGTTGTGGCTCAGCAGTAGAGTGCTCGCCTAGCACGGGCAAGGCCCTGGGTTCAATCCTCAGCACCACATAAGAATAAATAAATTAATTAAATAGTTGTGTCCAACTACAACTAAAAAATAAATATTAAAAAAATTCAAATCAACAATGGGTTCAAAGATAATACCTCTGGAAGGCTGAAATACAGCAAAGACAGAAAGGGCAAAGGTAAAGCATGTAACTGTACTCTTTGTCTAAATATGGGCGGTTTGTTTGCTACTCTACAGAGCAATCAGGGAAAGTTGAGGGTTAATTTCTGACAAATAGCTTAGTAGGCTGTTTGTCCAGCCTTCCCTGTTGATCCAAAGGAGCATCTCCTACTCCAGAGGAATCATACAACACAGAAGTGAGTAGACCTCCCATGCAGGGGGCCTGGTGCTGACACAGACTGCTGGAATGCAAAGCAGGTCTTTCCCTTCTGATGATGTAAGTCCATTTGGCCACTAGATGGAGATCAGGTTACTCTGCCAGTGACTAAAGTGGCTTGCAGCCAGCAAATGGAAGTAAGATACCAAGAACCTATTCTCTTTTTTCACTATTTCTATGAAAGGCATTTTTCAAGCTCCCAAATCAGGAGCATACCTATATAGAATAAAGAATTCATAAATGAGGCTCCTTAAAATATCAAACAGGAAGGGAACTGTAAAAGGCAAATATTATTATTATTATCTGGATTGATTTTTATTTATGTTGTATAATCTATAATATGAACTGGCTTAAGTAAGATCAATTAAGTATCCTTTGTCCTCATTACCAAGAGATTTGAGAAAAAGTTAATACAATGGCAGATTATTTGGACAAGACAATTCTTCCTGTTCACTTAAACAATAAAGATGTATGCTCATAATTTGTTTCTCAGTTTGAGTATACACACACACGCACACACACACACACATATCTGTATTATATATGTGTATATATTTTTTATATCAGCCAAAATGGATTAAGCAATCTTAGAAGTAGGAGGAGAATATTAGCAAACATCTATTCTAGTTTTCCAAGTGAAACTATCATTTCATTCTGAATTATATAACTTTATTACTAAATTTGTCTTATTTCTGTAATATTTGAATCTTGAGCTAGAGATATAAAGTTATAATATTTCCAAGTAATGTTTGATTTAGGGAAGAGAAGAGTTACATGGTTAAAATAATGAATAATGTGGTGAACATACTTGTTCCCAGGAAGAGAAGAGTTACATGGTTAAAACACATGGATAAATTTTTGTAAAATCATGAGTAGAAGTCTTTTTTTAAAAAGTTCTTTTGAGAAAAAATAAAATCATTAATTTAGGTCACAAAGATTTGACTACAGGAAAAATATCACCTTTGATTTATGTATTTATTATTTTTATAACACTAGTATTTATTATTGGGTGCCAATGACAGAGAAGAAACTAATGCTTGGAATAAAAAAAAAAAAAAAAAAAAACAGAACCATAAGTAATTAGTTTTCTAAATATTATGGATAGTAATCAACATTCATCTGCTGCTGTAATAGATCCATTTTGCATTTTAATGACATGTTTATTTTAAGTAATACATTTGTTTTAACTTGATTAAATTAATAAATTTATGTCCCTTCAAAAGGATTGAGGTTGCTAGCCTAAGTTTGGTTTGAGATTTTCAAAATATTCCTATAAAACTTTTAAGAATCTTGGGCTGAAGTTGTGGGTCAGCGGTAGAGCACTCGCCTTGCACATGCGAGACCCTGGGTTCGATCCTCAGCACCACATAAAAATAAATAAGTGAAATAAAGGTATTGTATCCAACTACAACTAAAAATAAAGGGACATTTTTTAAAAAAGAATCTAAGAAAAATATGTATTATTCATTTACAAATATATTTATTTCTCTTTTAAGGAAAAATCACAAAGTAATCACATAAAATAGTAATTACTAACCAATTATTCATGGAATACTTGGTTGAAATGTCTTATCTTGTTAGGTAGAAACCTAGCTTCCTTTTTTTTTTGTACTGGGGATTGAATTCAGGAGTTCTTTACCATTGAGCAACATCGTCCTCTTAATTTTCATTTTTAATTTTTAGACAGGTCTCACTGAGGGTGGCCTCCAACTTGTAATTCTCCTACCTCAGCTTTCTGACTAGCTAGGATTATAGCTATTCACCAACGTGCCCCTTCCTACCTTCCTTTTTGTTAGATAAGAATGAAATATAAACAAAGAAGTTTTGTTCTGAAGATTAAATAAATTAAATAAAATATTTTATTATATGCTTTAGTATGTATGAGTATACTGCCTTCCTCATTGTTATAATTCATTCCAGACAACAACTAGACCAGATGCTGACTGAGTCATTTCTAGAGTCACTGGGTTTCCTTTTGCTCTGGTGGCCTGTTCCCATATTTCTTTTCCATAGTGTAATTTCTACTGGTCACTGCTAAATTTGCATTATCTGGAAATAAGGAAGTTGTTAAAAACTATTGGGTGAATATTTTGCTAACTTTCTAGAAATTTAGGCTTATAAGAATATGCTGTCAGATCCTCAATGTTATGAGTTCAAATTTATTTTAGTTATTTTAGCAAGTATATTTGAGTTGTTGAGCCAAAAATTTTCCTGATTGTGGCATCTAGAATGAAATTTATACCTGAATGCTCACCTTTAAGAGGTAAGTTAGGGGCTACGGTTGTGGCTCAGTGGTAGAGAGTTTGCCTAGCAAGTGTGAGGCACTGGGTTCGATCCTCAGTACCGCATACAAATAAATAAATAAAATAAAGGTATTGTGTCCTTCTACAATGAAGAAAAAACAACAACAAAAAAAAGGAGGTAAGTTAAGTAGTACCTGCATATGTCTGTCACTTTCTTGCCCAATCATGTTTCTCCATTCCATGAGTGATCGCTGCAGATGTTCAAGTCCAGTTTCCCAAAGCCTGATGTGACCTCCCATATCAACAGTAACAACGCCACTTTTGTCCCACTCTGCCAGCAGTGCATCTGTGTCCGAAATAGTAGATAGCCATGTAGTATATGGTGAGAGAGATTCTGAACTGAAAAAGGAAAAACAAAAACCAAAGATGAGAAACATTAAAAATAAAGGAGTTGAGTGATACTTTATATGTGTATTGTTCTTTCCTGTTTAAAAATGTTCACCACATTATTCATTATTTTATACCTGACTCTTCCCTACTTCACAGCATAAGAAGGTTACAAAGGTCTGTGTTATGACCAAAGTGAGACATTGAACATACTGAGTTTTTAATCCTGAGGCAGAACAAAAATTAATTTAACAAGGATTTTGAAGGAAAAGTGTTAATAATTAATTATAATATATTGCTTATTGACAGTCTAAGTAATGAAGCTAGTTAAAAGTGATTTCAGTTCACTAAACTTGTCATAAAGATTTTTTATGGACTAATTGTGTCCTCCAAATCTATATGTTGAAGACCTAACCCTCAATGTGATGGTATCAGGAGGTCTTTGGGTAGTAATTAAATTTAGAGAAGATCATGAGGGTAGAATGGCCAAGATAGGATTGTCCCTTTAAGAAGAGACCAGAGGGCTTGTGCTTTCTCTCCACAACTCTGCCCCACACATGCATCATGCTGAGATACAGTTAAGAAGGCAGTCACTTGTAAGAGCACCCTTATCAGGAGCCAAACTAGATGGCACCTTGTCTTGGACTTTCCCAGCTTCCAGACTGTGAGAAATAAATGTTTATCACTTAAGCCACCCATTATAGTTATAGCATCTTGCACTAAGCCAGAACTCTAATTGTAGGTACATTAAAAGATCAGATACTGCCAGTAGTGCATGCCTGTAATCCCAGTTGGGGAGACTAAGGCAGGAGGATTCCAAGTTCAACTTAGTGAGGCCCTATGCAACTTAACAAGGCCCTATCTCAAAATAGAATAATAGAATGGGCTGGAGATGTGGCTCAGTGGTTAAGCATCCCTGGGTTCTATCCCCAGTAACAAACAATAAACAAAAAAAAACAATAACAGATACATTGGTAAAGAACAAAAATACAGCCATTTATTGGTTATTAACATTTTCTAATAGTCGTGGATACAAGATGACACTAGCAACTCACTCTCAGGAAGAAAGGAACTCCACACCAACTCATCCCTCCTACACCTGCATTGGTGGCCTCACTATTCAAAGGTCTCATTTCAATGCTGAAACCAATGTTTTATTTAAGGATTTCAATTTCATTTGTATTTCCTGACTTAGAAAGTGAAATTTATCTGCAACAAGGAATTTATATACTTCTTGTATTATATCTCATATTTATTTCCTTTATTACATATTTCTAATATATATAATTTTTTTGGAATGCAACTTTTATCTGTATAAGTCAACTGTATACTTCCTTTAAGAATAGTTTTCATATACAAGTTACACAGATTATAAATTCCAACTACTAGTGTTTACTTTTTAAACACAAATGATATTTTCTGTATGAAATAAAATAGCTTAAAGGGATGGTTTGCTCCGATAAGAAACACAATAAACTAACAATGTAGATTTGGGAAACCACAAAACCATTATACATGAAGTAAATTCTATGCTAAAGAATAAATCAAGACGATTTTGGTGTTTTTTCAGTATGCCTTAGTTGATACTGAACACACAGAGACCAAGAGCAGCTACTCTTGGAATGCAGATGTTTCAGGGAATGTTTACATGATGAAGGGAACAGCAGAATGGGAACAGGTATTTCAAAATTATTTTATAGGACCTCTAGAGGACTTAAATAAAGTAACCACTGATATGCTGTAGGATTTGTTTCACGGTGCTCTCTCAAAGGTATTTGGTTAGGAAAAAAATAGTAGTTACAGACGATGAAATAAAGAGCTATTCAGGAATAATGAAATCTATTCATGTGAAATTATGATGTTTGACATTCTGCCAAGAACACTGATGTTATATGATACTATTGAGCATTGTATCTATTTGTTGTCCCTCCTTGTCTCTCTACCATAAAACCTTAAATTTAGAGGAACAATTTCTTTAATAATAAGAAAAAGGAAGTACTGAAGAAATCTAAACTTACTACATTTTGCACATCAGGTCCAGAACTTCTTCAATTCTTTTTTATTTTTTACAAAAATTCATGTTTTCTTTTACATAATTAAATGAAAACACAGAATTATAGTGGAATGAAGCTTAGATTTATATACAGTCATATATGAGAGTTGGGCAGTATCATTTTACAAAGGCAAAGAGATAATACAAAAAATTTGTAGAATTAATGCATGAGCGCAAAAGTGGCACATTCATTTGGACTTGTAGTTACATTATATTTTTATTGTACTTTATGATTTGAAATTAGCCATCAAATGGAGAATTCCTGATATCTGGAGGATGCTAAATTTAAGAAACTAGCAAAAACCCAGAAATCTAGATAGGTCATTCCCTTGTATTATATACATGCAAACAAAAACAAATAGCAATAGTTAATCTCAACAGAAAGCCAGGATAATACTGACAATGAAACATACTCTAAATTACATGGCACATGAAATGTGGCAAGTCTAAATTGAGATATGCTGTAAGTATAGGTAGATTGCACAGACTTAGAAGAAAAATGAAATATAAAATATCTCATTACAGTTTTTATATTGAATACATGTCAAAATGATAATATGGTTTAAATAAAGGTATTATTAAATTTAATTTCACCTGTTTCTTTTTAATGTTTTATTGTGGCTATAAGAAATATAAAATTACATTTATGATTTGCATTATATTTCCACTGGACAGCAACACTCTAAATGAATGAATTAAGGGGCTCAGCTACTACATGGCTGTACACACAACTGCTCTTCCAGAAGTTATTCTCATTGTAGGTAGAACATGTAGCTCAAACAGAAAATTAAAAAACACCAAAATAAAAAGCTCTTGAGGGAGAAAGTAAGAGAAGTATTGGAAAAAATAATCAGTGCTTTTAAATGATTTTTAAAAGTATATTATTTGTTTTTGTTAAATGGACTAGACAAGCATACAACTAACGTGGAATAAGGAATTTCTTCAAATGTCTAAAAGTCATTTTCCATTAAACCAACACATTAACATGTTGCAAGAAATCACATATGTTGAAACAAGTAGATCTATTTCTTTGAATAGTGATTTTATGTTGTATATGTTTTGAATCTGATTAAAGGGTCCTAAGAAATGCAATTGTTATTGCTGAGTTATTTTGTATTGTCATACTGAGCTATTTTCTTCTGTGGGTTTGAAGAGGAGAAAGAAAGGACGCCTGGTGATGTTTTGGGTGATTGAGAGATTCCACTGTTCCTGTCCTTCCTCTGATATTAGTGGGTCTCCAGGGTCCTCTGAGATTTCAGGCAAGGTTTTACCCACTGTTAGAGCTCAGTTGCATATGGGAAAGCACAGGAGGGGAGTCAATCTTATTTAGATCAAAGTAGAGTAGAAAGATAAGAGGAATCAGGCTTTGGTGGCAGAGATGGGGGTCAGTCAAGAAAGGAAAAAATGAGCAACCTAGGCTACGTAGAACAAACAGTTGCAAGCTTATTAGCTCAAGAGAGAGACAAGGCATGGATATGCTCAGAAAAGGCTACAGGTGAGGATACCAATGTTCCTCAGGGCAGAGACAAGTAATTACTCTTTCTGTATCCTGAGTCCAGCTAGTTTAAAGGCTTCACTTCCATGACTGGTCAATAATAAAAGCAGTGAATGGTAATCAGTTTCATTCTAAATCTCTGGGAATCCTTTGGCTACTGTGTGGCCTTCACAACTGCACACAGTAATATATTTAGAAACAATATTAAATAAATGCTGTTTAAATTCCTTTGACATTTTGAATGCATTTTCTTCAGAAAACTAATACATAAAGTTAATAAGTATTAACATTTTTGCAATACTAACAATGCTATTTCTGGTTTAGAAAAAACTGAGCATTAGAACAGATCAAACAAAAGAGAGCAAAGGCTAGAAGCTTGTTAGACTTATACCTATGTAAAATGTTCTAAATATTTGAATATTTTTCCAAAACAAAAATAAACATACCAGTAAAACATGCAGAAGAAAGGTAAGATACAAACCAACTGTTAAGTGGGGGCAGGAGGGAAAGCTTTCATTTAAGGAAGCAAAAAATAGTTCACTCATTTTTATGACATATCAAGCTAAGAACAAAGGTGCAATGGGTTACCTGGGAATAGGGATATATCGGAGTTTTTTTGAGTGCAGATCAGTGACTTCTATATAACCAGCTGTCTGTGGGGGTGTAACACCTGCAAACAAGTCACGACATGAAACAAGTATTAATGACTGCTTGATACCAAAGCATGACCCCAAGAATGCTTGATTGCTGCTAAAAGCAGAATGAAGTTACCACTCTCCTACAAAAGAACTGTGGGACCTACTTGAAAAGGTACTGGACAAGTCCAGCTCTCAAAGCTAGACTTAAAATTATGGAGAAACACAAAGTAGAAGCATATTTGATTTACTGTCAGAAAAATAACTTGTCCTTTTCTTCATGATCTTTGATAGCATTCCAATATGGGTCAATTTTTTAGCATAGTTATTTAAAAAATATTTTATCATTTGAATTCTGTTTCCCTTCTTAGGAAGTCACAACAATGCCTAACAGGAGACAGTATAAAGTGGTAGAATTTAGTATCTGCTTTGCAATCAGACTGATCTGGTGAGTAGTTCTGGCTGTGATACTTCCTAGCTGTTGGTAAAAATATTTACATCTCTGAGGTCTACTTTCTCATTTGTAAAATAGAGATAATAATAGCATCTGAGCATCATAAGCATTATTTTGAGGATGAGATGAAATTAATAAATGCAAAGCATCTAATTAGTAGTAGCTCAGCATATAGTATTTGTCATTATTAGGGTTCTGCAAAACAGAAGGTGAGATGAGGATGGGGCAGGGGAGTAAGGACTTAGGATCATGAAGAGTATACAAAGTTGGGGGTAGGAAAAGACAAAGATATGGCGGCCAGGTCTGTAACTGAAATTTTGGGATTGCTCTCCCAGAAAATTCCATGGCTTTCTGACTTCTATTCCACAGCTCCAAATACCTCTGCCTTCCTCAAAGCACTACCTGTCATCAGTGTGTGTCACTAATTCTACTTTGTCTTTATAGGCAAGACGCATGATTCCTATTTGAGTGAGGAAGAAGCTGAGTACTATAGAGCTAATGTCACTATAGGACTGACTTGAGGTGATTTAGCTGTACAGTGATGGTTTGAAATCCATCTTGCTCTGCCAATCACTGTACACAACTCCTACCTGAGCTGGCTCTGGGACAATGGCTATTTGTAAAATAACCCCTTTTACAAAACCTTGGACACTAAGATATCTTAAAAACAAGATAAAACTCACCCTGCCGCAAAACTTTTAAGATTTTTGTCCATCTTTGTCTGTCTACCTATCAATCATCTATCATTCTATCTACCTACCTATATTTTATTACAACTTCACATAACAATGAGATGTCCACACTAAATTCATAGAATGCAGGAAAGAAAGAGAGAGAGAGAGAGAGAGAGAGAGAGAAATAAATCTGGCATTTTATTTCATGATTGCAGTTGAAGGATTTTTTCCTCAGGTTATCTGAACAACTCAACATATCTCTTATTTATTCAACAGATGTGCTTGAGCTTACTTTGTATCTGAGGATATAGAGAAGATAGAGAAGAAGGAGATGCCACCTTTAAAGAGCTCACAGCATAAAGAGGTGGGCCCTGGGGGACTTTGAAAAGATTCCAGAGTGGGAATTATAACTCCGAGGTCAGGTATGAACTGAAGAGGTAGGCAAGAGGAGGGCCCAGAGGGCAAACGGTTCAGGAGGAAGAGAAGGAAATGTACAGGGGAAGGAAGGCTAAGCAAAGAGTGTTACTATGCAATTTGACCACCCAGCTGCAGTGGCTGTACCCAGACAGCAGTTTGTATAAAATGAACATGCTTAGCATAAGTCACGCACCGTCTGTATTGTACTGCCTAGGATATAAGGTCAATCTTGGATAAAGCTTTACACCATATGTCGATTTTGACAATTCCTGCTGCTAGAACCTAGCTGAAGTAGGTTGAATTATTTATAGACCAGGGTTCTTTGCCAAAAATAACCAGTTATTGAAACTGTTGAGATGACTAGAGCTGCTTAGCGAACCAACTTAAACATTTGGGTATAGCATTTAAAAGGCATTTTTTTTTTTTTTTTTGAAATATAGTAAGTAGAATTAAGTTGAGCTGCTGCCATCAGCACTTTCAGGTTGCTTGTGAAAGCATCGTAAGCCAACTTATTTAAAAATATTTTTTCTACACCTTTCTTTACTTTCCCTGGGTAGATTAATTCCACAACACAGAAGGTGAGAAAATGCAATAATGGCTGTATCTGCTGTTTCAAGAAGAAAGCAAAAAATTTTACTCCTAGTACTAAAAATATACTTCCAGGTATAAGAAAGGGAATTTGTGGCTATAGAGCACTTCAGGGAAATATTAAGCATGGTGGCAGTGGTGGTAAAATAATCAAAATTTTAATGTTTACTGATCTGAAAATAAATCAGCTCAGAAAACAAGAATATTTACAAAAATAGTCTTATGGCTATCTTTGAACAGAATATAAGACTGAATTAAGGAAATGAAAACTGGGGCCAGGTTTCCCTCCAAACTGAGCCAAGTCCTTGTCCATTTAAAATGTTTCCACACTGTAGAGAGGATGAAGGCTCAATATATTTCCATTACACTTATAATCCAGGTGGATTTTAAAGATGGGTATAAACTGTATTTAGGGATTAGTCCACTAACCATTAAAGGGAAGTCATTGCTGCAATGTTTATCACATAATTCCCATGAACAGTGAGAACAGGATATATGCACAGTGCCAAAGTTAGAAGGAGGTATAAAAACTGTCAGGTGAAACAACCAAGAAGATTTTCAAAGGGAAGGTGAAATAATACTTAAAAATTCACTCCTTTTAGAAATGTAATTTGATGTACATCTGTTAACCACTAGGTTTAATATTCTTCTATTTATTCATGGATTAAAAGAATGATCTGCGCCATAATAAAAAGGCTTTTAGAGTTTCCCACTATGATATTTTCCAGTGACTTTCTTTATGCTGCTAGAATAACAATTTTGTAATTCTACTCCTAGACAGACCCACTACAGACTCTCAACATACATACAAGGAGAGAGTTGCTAGAATATTCACAGCACTACTATTTATAATGACAAAAATTTGGGGAATAAACCTAAATGTGCATTTTACAAACAATAGAGGAATAAACTGTAGTGTGTAAAGCAGTGGAAATAAAGGTAGAGCTCTCAGTATGGTAATGACAAAGATTCTTTCCTTGATCAAGCTCTACTCAGGCTCTTCAGAATCCTCTTTCCAACTAGGCCCTAGTTCTTGGGCTTCTATGTTTGCCTCTTGCACTGTTTTATAAAAAATTAATTCAAAATGGATCATAAATCTAAAACTATAAAGCTTCTAGAAGAAAACAGGAGATTTGCCTTTTATTCAAATAGGAAAAAAATGTATGAAAAATGCAAATCATCTGACACTGGATTTGTATTTAGAATATATAAAGAGCACTCAAAAGCCATTAATAAGAAAATGAATACCCCAATTAGAAATGGGCAAAAGAAGCGAAGAGATATTTCACTAAAGAAGATACATGCGAACAAATGTTCAATATCATTAGGTGCTATAGAAAATGCAAATTAAATTACTATAACCTATTAGAACAGTGAAAATCTGACAATGCCAAGTATTGGCGAAGATGCAAAGCAACTATAACTCTCATTCATTGCTGATAGGAATGAACTTCCATTTGGGAAAACAGTTTAGGCAATTTTATCATAGAATGTAGAAGTGCCATTCCTAGGTACTTATACAAGTAAAGCAAAAACCTAAAAATCACTTAAAAATCTAGGCTCAAATGTTCATAGTTGTCTTATTAATTACTGTAAAAAATTATATACACACACATACATACAAATTTGTGAACAGACAGGCAAACTGTGGTATATCTATATAATAAACTACCACTTGGCAATTAAAAGGAACAAACTACTGGCATGCACAAAACAAAATGATTTTCAAATACATTTTATTAAGTGAAAGCAGCAAGACTCAAAAGACAATATACTGTATGATATCATTAATGATATTCTAGTAAAAGAAAATCTATAAGGACAGAAGTCAGATCAGTGATGGGTTGGGGGTAGGTAGACCAATTGGCTGTAAGTGACATGGGAAGGTTTTTGGGGTGAGGACACTTCTCTTCTTTATCAGTTGGATGATGAGTTATACAACTATTTGTGTTTGCAAAACTCACAGAACTACACAGTAGAAAGGGTAAAATTTGACTATATATAAATTGGACCTTACTAAGAACAAACATATACATTAGAAAGTCAGTCATCTGATATGTAGAGAATAAGTAGGAAAGGAAAAGAGTAGAAGAGGCCCTGGCATTACTCCAGTGGTGGTGCATTGGATGTTGGTAACAGAACTTGATAATATCAGGAAGGAAATATCAAAAGGACATTGTGATTGATGATGGATTTGATGTAGAGAATGAAGGAGAAAAGGCATCAAGTGGAGCCCCAGGTTTCTGGGTAGATAAAGGTGTGCTAAGTTCTGGTATATATCATAGTGTCATTCCTAGAGTGCTTTGTCAAGATCCTGTACCTTTCACGCAGGCCTCTCTTTTTGTTGAACAATTCCCATTCAATTAATTCCCCCTCATCCTTCAAGAATCACCTCCTAATCAGCAGTCTCAGCTAAAAGCTTCTTTTTTGTGTGTTTGTATATTGCCTTGTGAATATTCTTATCATAGCACTGATGACATAGTGCTGTAATTGTCAATTTATTAATCTGCCTCTTCTATCACAGGAAGACTGTTTAGGGAACTAGGGATTCATTTTCCTTGAATTTCAGATGGGAAGGAACTAAATATTATCATTTAACCATCACTTTTCAAATCCAGTAATAGATTATTATTATCATACATTTTAGCATTATACTTGTGAAGTCCACACCAATAGAATGAACATAAACACAGCATAAACACATTTCTACTACCACAGTGCAAATAATAATACTCAATGATTTAATGTTTAATTTTTTTATAATTACCTATTCTGATGAATGCCAGTGTGGGTTCTATACAAATAACTCTAAATCTGGAATTGGAAGAGCTTGGTATAAATCTGAGTTCTGCTGGCTACTGGTGGGTAATCCTGGGCCAGTAATTTTATTTCACTGTGTCAGAATTTCCTCACACATAAATCAAAGAGCAAGATGACAACAGGATAGGGTTCTAGAGATCAAGTGAATTTATAGAAGAAGTGATCAGCACTGCACTTGGATATACTGTGTAGTAAAAAAACACAAGTTGACATGGAGAGCACTGATGAGTGAACTGGTCTCATGCTAAGCTATGGGCCTTTGGTCTCAGGACTCTCTATGCCTAAATCCTAATCATTTTAAAAGGCTCTTGAAAAACATGTTCTAGGTAAAGTCACTTTACAGATTGTAATGTGAATGTTGATGAGCTCTAACAGCAGTGCATACAACCATACACTGTGTAAAGATTAGTGAGCGGTTTCAAAATACACAAAGCCCACTGGGCATGGTGTACACACCTGTAATTTTACACCAGCTACTGAAAAGGTTGAGGCAGAAGGAGTGTAAGTTTCAGGTCAGCCTTAGAAACTTGATGACACATTGTCTCATAATAAAAAATAAAAAGAGGATATAGCTCAATGATAGAGCACTACAGGGCTCAATTCTCAGTACCAAAAATCACAACCAGCACCTTCCTCCCAGCCCCACCTACAAACAAAAACAAACACACACACACACACACACACACACACACACACAAAACCCACATAGCTCTTTTTAGCTACTTATAAAAATATGAAATAATAATCATAAACTAAATATCCCCTACCAAATCAGATAGTGATAACTTCTTACCTTTTGGGTAGATATCTTTTAGAGGGACTTCTCCTGGGGGCAAAATCCTGACTACCAGATTAGTATCTAAAAGAGTCACACAATTTCTCTGTCTTGGAGCCCCCTTCTTCTTCTTTCCTCCATAAAATGCTGTATCAGTGACACTGGGTTTATGCAAAGATGATGGCCTCTTCCAAGAATAAACTTCACTGGGTGACTGAAAAAGGAAGGAAGAAAAGAAGGAAAGAAAGAAGGAAGGGAGGGAAGGAGGAAGGGAAAGGAAGAAAAAAAATTAAAGTATCATATAACACATTCACCATAACTTTTACAATATATTCCTTTAAGTATACACCAGTGGTGAACCTGTCTAACAGGAATAAGAAAATCAAATTATCTTTTTGAATTTGGTATAGGAGAGGGCTGCTTTACCAAAAATCATAATATCCAGACAAGTATGAAATATATATTAAATTTTTATTTTGAAATAAATTACAACTAAAAAGAGGGAATATGGCAGTATAGTTAGCTCAAACATAATATGATATAAAACTATGTATCTAGTATAAAGGTAAGAAAAGAACATAACTGGTATTTTTAAACCCTTGGAGTATCCCTACCCAATCACACGTCTCTGGTACACCTATATTTAATTCTCCTGGAATTTCTTATTATTTTTTTCCTTTGGTTTATTTTAAAATTTTACCATGTATATTCATCATTCCAAATGATAATAAACTGTATTTTCCTATATTTTCTCTTAAAAGGTTAAGGTGTTGTCTTTTGAATTAAGTCTTTAACCCATAAGGAATTAATTTTTGTGCATGTTGTGAGGCAGGGACACATGTCTGTCTATTCTTATCTGGATAGATATTTGCCCCAATACCACTAACTTTTGCCCAATGATCTACAAATGTTTTCATAAAACAGAGTTCAATGTATGCATGCCTCTGTTTCTGGAGGCTGCATTCTATTCTACTGCATATTTTTCTACCTCTGGGCCAAGAAGACATGGTCTTAGTTCCTACAAATTTATATGCAGGCTTGAAATTTAGTAGTTAAAGTAACTTTGGTTGATTTTTCTTCACATTTTTCTTCAGTGATGTCTTTGTTATTGTTTGTTCTTCCATATTCATAAAAATATATGGACTGTATTTACTCTGTCTTCTTGTCAGTATTTTTTATTTTAGCCATTCTAATCGTATCTTACCAGGGTTTCAATTTGCATTTCACTAATAACTAACGATGTTGAAGATCTTTTCTTGGACTTATTTGCCATCTCTATATACTCTGTAACTAAATGTTGTTCAAATCTTTTGTCCACTTTCCCCCCACACTTATCTTTAATATTTTTCTGTATCTACCTAAATACATTGAAAATTGAGTTCATACAAACATATCCAATTACAATCCAATAGCTACAGGGTTCATTCTAGATTTCTTCCTTTCACGATTGCCTTCTCCAAAAGTGAGAAACCAATTTTTATTATCCTTAATATATTTTAATTATCCTTAACATAGTTCATTATCTTTATTATAACATCCTTAATATATTTATTTTCTTCTTCAAGTCCATTATAAGTGACCCATCTCTACCACTAACCTTACCCTATGGACAGAGCCCTGCTCTCTTTGCTTCATCCCCAAAGCCCACACTGGGCTAGACTCATGCATGGGCACTTTCCTCATCTTACTTGGGATCCAATTTTTCATACCAAGCTGCCCCTTTATAAGCTCAGATTTGATGCCCATCACCAGTAGTTACCCCTTCCCTGCCATGAATGCCCTTCTTACCCCACTTAGGCTCTGACCTTAATTTAACAAGGTACTAGGAATTGAATTTGGGGGCTCTTTACCAATGAGATACACCCCTAGCACTTTCTATATTTTATTTTTAGTTCACTGTTTGCCCATCTTAAAAATTGGGGTTTTTTCTCACTTTTGAGCTTTAAGAATCTTATAGATCCTAGGTATAAGTCCTTTGTTAGAAATGTAGTTTCCTAGCCTGTAGATTATCTTTTTATTATCTTAACAGTGTTAAAGATCTTAATTATCTTAACACTATTGAAGATGATATTTGCTATAGGTTTATATAACTATTTGGGATTAGGTTAAGAGAATTATATAAATTTGTAATAATCTGTTGCCTCTGATAGTTTTATTAAGAAATAGTAAGGGGTGTCACACTCCTTTGTTGATAGTTTTATGAAGAATCTAAAGAAATTCACATAAAAGCAGAAAGGCAGTATGGTATAAAAGAAAGTATATGGGTTAGCTGTATGTAGTGATGCATACCTATAATCCCAATGACTCAGGAGGCTGAGACAGGAGGATCAGCCTCAGAAACTTAGGTCCTTAGCAAATGAGACTCTGTCTCAAAATAAAAAATAAAAAGGACTAGAGCTGTAGCTCAGTGGTAAAGGCCTCTGGGTTAAATCCCTAGTTACCCCCCCCCCCCAAAAAAAAAAAAAGTTTTAAAAGAAAGGGTATGAGTTAAGGGTTTAGTCATACTTGAGATCAAATCTTAGAGCTCTTAGTTGTAAGCCTTGTGACCTGGGGGAATAGAACCTCTCTGTTTCTGTTTTGGTATCCACAAAACTGTAGAATTGTTATTTTTTTTTAAAAAAAAACTATTATGCCATGCCTCATGGTGTATGCTGTAATCCCAGCTACTAAGGAGGCTGAGGCAGAGGATTGCAATAAGTTTGGGGCCAGCCTGGGCAGCTAGTGAGACCCTGTCTCAAAATAAAATATAAAAAGTACTAGGGGTATAGCTCAGTGGTAAAGTGCCCCCAAGTTCAATCTCTAGTACTAAAAAAAAAAAAAAAAAAGTTAACTATATTATATATGAAAAGGCTTAGAACCATATAGTGCCTTACTACTACAGATGGGCCCAAGGAAAATATGACTGTTACCATAAAAGTCTGAAAGGCTGCCTAGTTAACTTTTTCATTAACAAATTATTCACTGGTGGTGTGTTTCATACTAAATATCAAGGATATAGCTTTTATTTTAACAAGGTTACTCTTACAGGGTAAAAGACTTCTATAGGGTTAATAGTTTATTTTACTCAGTTTTTATTTTCTAACCTTTTATGGTGATATTATATTTCTATACTAATTTCATTAATCAAAAAACAGTGATAAGATCAATTTGTTTTAAATAGTTCCACCTTCACAAAAAATTCAAGTATTTTTTTTCTACTCATAGCATATTAAACACACCTCTTTTATTTGATCAGGCTGCTGTAGGCACTGTTTTTCAACAATATATTTCATTTTGAGTTAGATAACATAATAGCAAATGCTTTTTACTTGATAATTAGGAAGGCATACGGCAAGTCCTAAGCCACGTATTATCCATTGGGTTTTATATTTCAAATGTCTTATATCCTCAAGTACTCACAATTTATTAATCACATTAAAATTTAGAGGCATGTGAGATTGGTGTATTACTAAGTACAGCTAATACTTTCATCTTTAAAAGATTATATTGTCTGATCTAAAAGCTACAAAGGAAATTATTAAAATTAAATGTTTACTCAAAACCATGGAGTTACATCTAAGGTTAGTATACAGAAACTTGTACTAAAATAACCTTTATATTTCATTTCCCCACATTTCCACTAGGGGAAGATGGTGCCCAGTTTCACCTGAACTCAGTTACAAATAGCCTTTCTTTTAGCAATAAAGATAGATAACAGCATAAAGTCGCATCTAGGAGAAAAATAAATTAAGACCATTACCCATTACATTATTAACAGGCTTCTGCAGAGATACGATAAATCAGAATAAAATTCAATGAGAAGTAAACATGAGTTAAAAAATTTAATCTATAGTAATGATACCCAAATTTAACCTGAAAAAGTTCTAGAAGGCATACTTTATTAGTCTCAAATTGTTCCTCCTGGCAGAGTCCATGAACACACATTAAGATGACATGATTAAAAAAATCATCTTCAATAGGTTAAATGTTAAATGTGTCATATGAACTCCTACATATGAAGATACTTGTTTCTTACTAAACTAGATCATTGCATTACAATTTGATTGGTATACAGTAAAACATATTTTTTACTGATTTCAAATGCAAACTTGATTTAAAATGTTTACCAGCTATTACATTTTAATTGTCTCTTAAATAGGCTTACAGATTTTACATCAAATGTGGAGAAATAATTACACAATAATGTAAAACATTGGTGCTCACCATGAGATCTGGGAAGCCAACCACTATGGCAGCATAATTGTTCTCATCTGAGAAAATTCGGTTGGGAGAGGCGATCTTTTGTCCTACAGCTGAACTCAGATTTTCAGATGATAGTTGATCACTTGAAATTTTATGAGGTATGCTGACCTCCATTTCTGAAAATGTCAGACACACATTAGGCACTATTTACCCCTAAAATGCTCTAGGAATTACATTTTTGCAAGATTTATTCTCAACAACTCAAACAGAAAAACACAGTAAAAAATAGAAAACATTCTAAATTGCATTCATGAGCTTTGGCTGAGAAAATTGTTTTTATAATCAAAGCTTCTTTCCAAAGTGATTTCAAGTATTTATGGAATTCAGAATTTTATTAGTAATAAATATCATCATTAATAGCTCCCCACAGAAAAGATGCAAAACTGACCCAACCCAGTATTGGCAATAGTAAAGTTTTAGATTTTTTTCATAAGTACTGTTCACTTCCCCAAACTTGGCCAATGGATGTAGTCATAAGGGAAGGGGACTTGAAATTTACTGTGCATTCTTTATAAACCAAGTGCCATACACTGCCATACACTGTGATGAATTAAGTAGAAATTCTGATGGCCTGTGGAAAACAGAAAAGATGTTATCCTAAATTAGACTTGGAACCTAAATGTAAGTGAAAATTCTTATTTGACAGTTTAAAATTTTCAAGGACAAGACTTAAAAGAGTGGGCTTCCTTATAATACTTTGAAGGCAGATTATTCCTTTTTCCAGGGTAGTAATTACTTTTTCTTTCTTTTGGTGTAAATATCACATAATCTTGATTTTATTGTTCTTCAATGAATCTAGAGAATAATTTGTGAATAAGCATGCACCCACACAGCCATAAACACAGACAACATAGTATTTACCTTGTGTAATTCCAAACCCTGTGCTAGGCAGCTCCTCTTTCAACATATACAACTGGCAAACCCCACTGTTCTCAGATTCAATGTGTGCAGGTTTAGTTAAAAGATATTTTCTGTAAACAAACAAGACATTCAACTTAAGTGTAAAGCTTCTTTTTTGAGAAATCATTAGGGCAAACCAAGAAAAATTAGTTGTTTGCTCCAAAAGCCTTTTAAAAAATAGTTGAGTATAATTTACTGTTTCAACATTTCATCATGAATTTAAAAAATAAATTCTCAAAACTATTAACACCATTATAAAGGGTAGTACCCAATGACAATGCAGTGATGAAGGCAAATCAAACATTCAAGGCTTCCTATAAGAGAAAGGGCTATTAAAGCAAAGCAATGCTAACAGGGCACACCCTTATAATCTTGGAGCCCTCTCTTAATATGTCTGTCTGGTCAGGCAGAAAGTGAGAGCATGAACTCTGACTTTGTGACCAGCTAAGGGTCAGAAGTCCTCACCATTATAATCTTCTTGACGGATTTATTTTTAAGCTGTCTAAAATGTGGATGCGTGAATAGCTAGAAACTGTTTGTAGTGAGCCACTTTTGCTTGTCATCAGAAGGACAGAACTCTTCACTTAGCCAATGGATGTAGTCATAAGGGAAGGGGACTTGAAATTTATTGTGCATTCTTTATAAACCAAGTGCCATACACTGCCTTTGATCAAAAAATATACAGTCCCAATGGGGGAAGGCAACACAAACAAACAACCATAACCAAATAAGAGGACAAAAGATGTAAAGAAGAAACTTCTAAGGTATGAATTCTGTGAAGTTACAAAAAGGCAATAGCTCTAGGATAGAGTCTAGGACTCTTAGAAGGGAGAATAAACTGAAAATCTACTTTGAAATACCTACTGCTTGGTAGAACACTGTGAATTCTCAATGTGCAAATAAAAAAAATTTCAAATCAATATGGATCATATGTAAAAGTTATTATTTTTGCTGTTAATTTCAGTGTCATACTCTGAGAAGTGATATTTATTTTAATTTTCTCCTCTCTCTTCTTATAACTTTTCACCAATAGAGATGGTGCCAAATACAGAAGTTGTTAAAAGAGATAAAAGGAAGATGGAGTAAGGGTTTTGGATAATTGATAAATAAGGTTAAGCTATGGCATATTGCACAAGATGGTACGCAGTACAGATTCACCCACTGATTTGTTTCACTTTCCACCAGAAGCCATTTGTCCTCTGCTACAAGGAAAACTCTCTCGAGGTTGATGGGAAGTGAGATGGTATGAGCTCGCCCTTCCAAAACATCCAGTACAGTCAATCTGTTCCTAAAAAAGGCAAAGAAAACCATGTCTAAAAGGAATGATAAGGATAAGTTGAGTGGCATAATCCTTTCATGATATATTATGCACTAAGTAATAACATAGAAAATGTTAATTGAGAAAACACATAAACAAATTCTAAACTGTCAGGATGTGAAGGAGAAAAAATAAAGGAAAGTGACAGCTGCCATATTAGTAGTGTTGCATTATGAAATTTTTAGTGCTCTTTTTTTCTATCTTTCTCAGTGTTCTACAACGTGGGCATAGTTACTTTCACACTAAAACATTTATAATTTGATTATATTAGTTTTGTACTAAACAAGTATAATTAAAACAGGAAACAGGATTAATAAAATAAGTAACCCAGTTTGTCTTATTCAATAAAGAGCTTACCCTTTTTCTTTGTAGAATACTAGCCAGTTTTTGTGTGAAAATTCTTTACACATTTTATAATTTTCCTAAAGACAAAACAAAATATTAAATGTTTCAGATGTAGTCACATTTCTTTAGCTGCTTCCCCTTAAATAAATTTCTTCATTGTGTAGAAAGAATACATAACTCCTGGAGAAGATATATAATCACTTCAAGACTTTTACAATAACATGGATTAAACTATACTTCAAAATTTATTGTGGACTATGTACTAAAACCTCCATAGAATATTTTTTTTTAAAATAGGGTCAAGTACTATTTGAAATAAACACGCTATTTGGTGATTAACTATGGAATTTAAATTATAACATAAACACGTCAGAAATACTTAGTAGCATTTTTTAAAAATCTCTTTTTTTCTCATGGTCTATTAAGACCTAAGTATGCTGTCTTATACAGTACTGGATAAACCCTATTTTATATCAGAATCAATTCTCTTGGGTTGGCCTTCAGTGTTCATTTATTCAATTTGGTTAATAAACTGAGACATTTATTTATCTGGTGAGACAATTAGGTATTCTACTCATGGTTTTATCATATAAACCTAAAAAAGAACTACATAACTGAAAAATAGGTTAAATGATGAAGAATTTGTTATTAATATCATAATCAAACAGTTCATAATGTTCTTTTATTATTCTTAGTTAGTCCTGGCAATCTTCAACTCAGTATAACGTATACCAAAAGAAGCTACTGATATTTATTTATAGGTTTATCTTTATATATTGTATCATATCTCTATATATTAAATGTTAAAATCCACAGATGTAACAAGAGGTCTCTCTTGTGCATTATAGTTTGTTTTTTCTTTAAGCACCAAAAGGAATGCGCAAGCTTGCATTTTCATGGTGAGAAAGCTACAGAAAATTGTTGGCAATCTGCCCAACAGAGATCTGACATTCCTTACTTTTTCCTCCTTGCTCCACCAGGAAGATTTCTCAGATGCTACCTCTTCTAAAGGAAGGATGAGACGACGAAGGACCTGGCCAGTGGTATCTAATAAGAGGATGACATTACTCTGGAAATAAAGAAAACAGTATTAAGTTCAAAATTATTTTTAAAGAGCAGTAAAGGTTAAAGAGAGTAAAGGTTAAATAAAGAGGAACCCAAAAGGAAGACAAAAATATTGAAATAATTATAAGATATCATGAAGACATTCAGTGATTTTCCTTACTATAGAATTTAAAGTTTTGAGTGATTTTATCAGGATATGTCTAATTGTGTAACCTTCTCCTAAAAGATTTTATCTTAAAATCATTCCCTTTTAAGTATAAGGCAGCTGAACCATGTTTTATTATATAATAACAAGGAAATTAAGAGGATTGATAGTTTTTAAAAGTTCATTTACTTTTATCAAAATTACACTTAGAAAATGTCCTGTTGAAAGCTCTTTTACACTCTGCATTCTTAAATCTCATTTACCCTTTTCAGAAACAAAAGTTCAACTTAGAAAATAGGTACTAGATATAAAGATGGGTTAGCAAAAAAAATATAAAGGACCCCAAGAGCCCAGTTAGTAATGAGTGTCATCTTGAAATTCACTGAGCTTGAAGGACTTTCATTACTGGTGCTGTATTATGAAGAAAATGTAGTGCTAAGAGGTTTTAGCAAGGTGAGAAAATGGATTTGGATGAAGGAGACATTTTCTCATTTAATTTTGTAAAGGGTATCAAAGAAATTCAAGTTTTAAGAAAGGAGCTATCACTTTACACCTACAAGACTAAACAACATTATAAAGCTGGACAATGCTGAGTGTGGGCAGTGACACAGGGACTTGTGACCCTTTTGTACTATTAGTAAGCATGTACAGCCATTTGGGAGAACAGCTGACACCACCTGGGAAAATTAAGTTTATGTGCTGATGATGATCTAACATTTCTATCTGGGTTTTTATTGCAAATAAATTCTTATACTAATCCATAAAAAAACTTGTACAAGGGAAAAATTATATACAAATGAAGCATTATTAATCACAGCTATGCAGTGAGGTAATAATCTCTCAGTAAATAGGATTCTTTTTCAAGAAAAGAAAGAAACTTTAAGCATTATAATACATGAACAGAAACAAAAACATAAAATTGAGAAAGTCAGAAAAGATTAGATATTTTAAAGAGATGTAAAGAAGTTGTCTTTCCTGGTTGAAACATTAAAATGTTTTAAGATTAAACTAACAAGTTTGCAAAACAGACACCTGCAAGTTGTTTGTCAGGCCTCATTATTATGCAATTCTCCTTTCTTGGTTTTTTTTGTTTTGTTTTGTTTTAATTTGGGCTTCTTCAGTTATCCTAACCCTTATAATATTTCATCTTAAGAACTTTATTTGGGGAAAATAGAGTCACAAAGCATCCAAAGAATTAAAATATACTTAGGAACCTATAGAAAAACAATCAAATATGAAATATTTGCTCAATTATTCCATAATGTCAATGGGGCAGCTTAAATTTAAAGCACAAAGGAGAACATAACCATAAGTTAATCATGATCCTTGCATTCTATTATGTTATGTAGTTGGGGAAGTAAAAAGAAATATAAAAATATTAATGATTCAGCTGCAAATCTAGTAACTTATAGTGTGGTTTCATATTTATTTTACAAACTAACTTTACTGAAGTGCTCAAAATTAAATAGCATTTGTACCACACAGTTCATGTCAGACCATATATTGAAACATGATTGTATTACAAACTTTACTGAGAATGTTCATAAAACTTTAATTTTCCCACAAACATCACCCTTGAAATGTATCATTCCATATAATATGTAAGCCTCCACTAAGAAAGTATGTTAGAAATATAATTTTAAAAATTAACATCTAATCAAGAAGTATTGTTCGTTGGTATTCTAAAGTTTTAAAAACAGTAGTGATAAATTAGAATTTTTCTTAAGAAAACATACAAATAAGTAAAAAAATTATAAAGTCTCCATTCTAGTTCAACTATTTTTTGAGTATGTTTTAGTAAAGAAGTCTTTCTTGGATGATAACTATATATAACATTTACATAAATTCCTAGCACATAAGCAATTTGAGAGATATTAACTTTTTTTAAAAAAAAGAGAGAGAAGAGAGAGAGAGAATTTTTTAATATTTATTTTTCAGTTTTCGGTGGACACAATGTCTTTATTTTATTTTTATGTGGTGCTGAGGATCGAACCCAGCGACGCGCACATGCCAGGTGAGTACGTTACCGCTTGAGCCACATCCCCAGCCCCAACATTAAATTTTAAAAGATGTCCTAATGTTTTGTCCCCTCAAAACAATTAAACCAACAAATAAGCAGATGACTAAAGATATGCTTAAGCAGAAAAATAAGTTAGTGAAGTTTCCCATTTATATTCTTTTTTAGAGTCTAAAACTTATATATTCATAACCTGGTATAAATGAACTGAAAAACTGTATCTTTCCAAGTGACAGAAAATGTATATACTTCCATCTATGACTGTATTTAGAATTAGTTTTATAAGTAATTGGCAACATGAAGGAGTTCTATGGCTCCATCTTTTAAGATGTTAATGGTTTCCTTCTGTAAATGACTAATGATATATTCTGTCTGAGTTTAAAAATAGAATTTCACATTACACATGAGTACAAGTTAACTGTGGCTTTGGCGCTCTTTTAAGCAGGGCAGGGAGGAGAAATAAGTGAGCAATTTTATTATGTTTGTATTTGACTGGGAGAAAAGTAACCTCTGGATGACCTCCATGTCCCCAAGTCTGAAATTCTAAACTCTGTGCAGATGTAATAAATAATTCCATGGGGGGTGAAGGAAGGGGAGGGTCTTTATTTTTAGGCATAGCAAAGTTTTCCTTTTTCACTAAAGATTTTATTTTAGCAAGGAATTTTTGAACAATTTTTTAAACTAAAGGAAAGTGCATCTGAAGGCATAGCTTTATTTTAAGAAGACAAGGGATAGGTAAACTCATGGCAGTACAATATTTCAGCTTCATTTTCAGTGAGGACAGGTTGAGGAAGAAGAAACTGATGGCAGTCCACCCAGTTCCCATTCCACTAGAATTATCTACCAGTTGTTAAATTTCACAGCTGTGAGCTGTTCATATGGAATCAACAGGTCTGGCATCCCAATAGGCCCATCTTATAAAACAGACAGCCAAGATATCCTCTCTGGGAAAGGATGAGGCAGTTTGGAGGACAGGATAGTGGAAGCATCCACATACTGCATGTCTGCTCAGGATGCTAAGCTCCTTTCTGAACAACTATTGACACTGTGGCCAAAGGGATAAGTAAGACAGTGTATAAGATGCCAGGAGACAAGATGCTGGCTGTGGATGCTGAACATAGCTTCACAATGAAAGTCATTGTAATCAAACAGAATATTAATCAACAACATTGTTAAATAACTGGATTTTTTGAGAAAATGAAACACATACTGAGAACATAAAAATCTGATAATGTTAGAGAATTTGTATGTATGTAAAACTGACAGAGAATTTGTCAGCTAAAAATTTGGCAGAACTGTTTGAATAAATATTACAAATTTCATTTCTTTTTAAAAAATATCATTTATTTATTTTTTAATTTTTAGGTGATGCTAAGGATCTAACCCAGAGCCTCACACATGCTAGGCAAGTGCTCTGCCACTGAGCTACAGCACCAGCCCCTACAAATTTCATTTCTCATACAAATTTGATTGACTTACTGAATGAAAAATCACAAACATATTATGTGCTTTTAATGATTCTTATAGATATAGGATTCAAAACAGACACTGATATTTTGTTGTTTACACTAAAATAAAACCCTTATTCCAATTTGCTGGACATGAACTTTTATAAGCAATATCTGGATATGGATGAACTCTGTTTCTATTAGAAAATGAAAATGGGAAAAACAAGCCCAAAACTGAACCCAGAAAAAAATCTTAACTCAGAATTTATGATAATTATTTAGGCAACAACTAAGTTAATTTATTTCCTCAAAAAGTTAGTGACATTTTATTTATCCAATATATTCCTCTTGAAATAAAATCTAAAAGTATTATTTCTTGGTAGTATTACTTACAGGTAACAATGCTGCATTTCTTTAATATTTTCTTATTATGAACTCTTTTCTTTATTAGTTCTAATTAGTCATACATGACAGTAGAATGTAATTTGATACATCATACATAATGAAATATAATTTCTCATTCTTCTAGTTGTACATGATATTGAATCACACTGGTCATATAGTTATATTATGTAAACAGGGTAAATAATGTTTGATTCATTCTACTATCCTTCCTAACTTCATACCCCTCCCCTCCTTTCACTCCCCTCAACCTAATCTAAAGAAACTCTATTCTTCCTTAGCCAAACCCCTCCCCTTATTGTAAATTAGCATCTGCATATCAGAGAAAACATTTGGCCATTGTTTTATTTTGGAATTGGCTTATTTCACATAGCATGATATTCTCCAGCTCCATCCATTTACTAGCAAATGCCATAATTTCATTCTTCTTTAAGAATGTCATATTTCCTTTATATATATTCATCTGTTGAAGGGCACCTAGGTTGGTTCCATAGTTTAACTATTGTGAGTAGAGCTGCTATAAACATTGATGTGCGTGCATCACTATAGTATGCAGTTTTTAAGTCCTTTGGGTATAAACTGAGGAGTGGGATAGCTGGATCAAATGATGGTTCCATTCCAAATTTTCTGAGGAATCTCCATACTGCTTTCCGTAATGGTTATACCAATTTACATTCCCACCAGCAATGTATGAGTGTACCTTCTACCCCACATCCTTGCCAACATTTAATGTTGCTTGTATTCTTGATAATTGCCACTTGGACTGGAGTGAGATGAAATCTTAGAGTAGTTTTGATTTGCATATCCTTAATTGCTAAAGATATTGATCATTTTTTCATATATTTGTTGATCACTTATATACGTAAAGAAAGAGCCTACAGAATGGGAGAAAATCTTTACCACATGGACCTCAGATATAGCACTATTCTCCAGAATATAAAAAATGAATAACCCAATCAATAAATGGGCTAAGGAACTGAACAGACACTTCACAGAAGAAGAAGTATAATCGATCAACAAAATATATGAAGACTTTTAAATTTTTCACACTATAGTATTCTTCTTCCAAGTACCTGCAGTGAGTAAGAGAATGGGTATAGTTTAATTCTTGTGAGTCAATCCAATTTGATTTGAATCTCAATCCTGCTGTGTATCCACAGAAAAGGTTAAACTCTCTGAACCTAGTGTTCTCATATGGAAATATGCCTTACAGCTACCTCACTTGGCACTTAAAATAATAACATAAGATAATGTAGTAATTTCTTACTTGACACACCATCACTATTTAACAATCCATCTTTCTTCTTGATACATCACTTGCCTTCTGGGATACGGCCCTCCCTGGTTTACCCATATTCATCACCAGCCACTCATCCTCAATCCCTGCTGTTGATTCCTTCTTCATGTCCTTGATTTCTTGACTTAGTGCTTAGACTTTTCCCACCTACATTTACTCCTTGGTGACCTTTTTCAGTCTCATGACTTATGTAACATTTATATACCAATGACTCCCCAATTTATATTTCTATTTCTGACCTCTCCATTGAACTCCAGTCTCATCATTTACTTGGCTGTTTAACAGTATCTCAAATTTAGTCAAATGTCATCTGAGTTTCCCTCGTAACTGATTCCTTCTCCATTTCAATTAATGACAACTTCTTCCAAGTTGTTCAGGCCCTAAATCTTGAAGTTGCTCTTGAGTTCACACTCTTTCACCCCATATATTTGCTCTGTTAAAAAATCCTGTTAACTCTACCTAGAGAATATATCCAAGATCTACCATTACTTAAGACCTTCAACCTTTTCTAAACCACCATTATCTCTTGCCTGGATCACTGCAAGAAATCTCTGAACTAATTCCTCTCATTCTTCCTTAGCACCTATAGATTATTTATCACTGAACAAACATAGACATTCTTTTAAAATATAAGTCAGATCATGCTCTCCTCTGCCAAAAGAACTTCTAATACCTCCTCCTTTTACTCATAGTCAGAGATCAGAACCTTCCATGGCCTATAAGGTTTTACACAATCTACTTCCCACTGCTCTCTCTTCCTCATCTCTGAATAACCTCCTTACCTCACTTCTTACTTTTCCCGTCATTCAATCTTCCATGTACACTTCTCTATGTCATTTTTTTTTTTTTTTTGCAGCGATACATGCTACGCAAGCCCCCCTACCAACTGAGCTACTCCTAGGCTCCCACCTGACTTCTTTAAACATAAATAGGCATGATCCAGTCTCTGGGACTTTGAATCTATGATTCCCATAGAACTCTCTTCCTCCAGATATCTGTTCTCCCTTTTACCTCCATCAGAACTTTGTTGCCAACCCTTCAGTTAGGTAAGCTCTGAGGACCTTATTTTAAATGGAAATCTTCTGTCTCTTGCATCTCAACCTCTAGCTAAAGATATAGTTTAAGTTGTTGTTGTTGTTGCTATTATTATTATTATTATTTTGCTAATTGTCTATCTTCTTGAACTATAATATAAGCTTTTTAGGACAGGAATTTTTGTGGTCTTATTCATTGACCTATAGCATCTGTCTTTTGAGCTGTAGCATCTGTTTAGAATTAGGTTTAGCATGAATCTGGGTATCTGTACTTCTTATCAGTGCTGTCTTAGTGCACTAATCTCTAGAAGTGATGGATAGAACTTGAGCACTATAGATACTAAGGGATTCCAGTGTATTCCATGCAATATATTTACATTGCTACTTCTATATAAAGAATGTCATTTAAGTCTCAGATAAAATGACATCTTCTCAGAGAAGATATCTCAGCACTCTTTTTAGCACTGTTCACCCTCCCAACTCTTCCTCCTTCTTCTCCATCACTTCCCCAGATGTCACTGCTTTTATATAGCACTTTTCACTACCTGAAATTGACATGTTTATTTGTTGGTTTGGTTGTTTGTTGGCTCTCTCTCCTAAGAGAGTAAGTTTCATAACAAAGAATTATCTAGCTCCAAATATCAAAAAGTGGCAAGGCTGAAAAACCCTGATTGGGCAGTTTCCAGACTTAAAAATTCTGTTGAAGTTGGTACAGAGAGCAAGATAGTAGCCTACCTTTGTGGAACTGATAAAATATAACTCCTGATATGTCCCCCAATATAAATGAATTTTTCATGATTCTCTTCAATCATGAAAAACACACATTTCAGTTTTAGGTTGAAAATTACTCTTGCCTTTTTCTTCACATCAGTTACTTTTCCCATAATTATAGAATGTGAGTAGCCTGGTATACCTGTTCTTCGTGGAGAATAACTTGACCCTGGAGAGGACTTCCCAGTGGTGCCACTGTCACAAATGGGTGCCAAAGTCCACTGGCAGTTCTTGGGAAGATGTCATATAAGTCCACAAAGAAGCCACTTTCCCCAGTCATATTCATAAAGTATAAGGAAACAGGATTGCATGTAGTTATATACAGAGTATTTTCCTCATTTTCTGAAATGGAAAAAAGGTGTTAATTTAGTGGTTTGAAAATGACTTACCAACTGATCAAGAGGCCTAGGAAAAATTAAATTATGAAGTTTGAACATACAGTTGAAACCCAGCAGATGATTTGTAGATGCACTGATTAGACTAAAAAGACCATGAAAAGCACCTTAGTTCCTTCCCTAAATGTAGAGTTACACCTACCTATTCCAGGAGGTATCTATTTGTTCCCAAGAAAAGGCCACAATATCTCCTGATAACATCATTAATTAGTTAACAATTTTTAATGTCAGGAAATTCTCCCTTGTGTTCCAATGTAAGTCTGTTTTCTCTTTTCCATTGTTGTTTCAGAATAACAACAGTTCAATATTTTCTAACTGCTGATCTTTCATTTTCTAGATAGTTACTAGATATTTAGGATCTAATTAATTCCACTTTTAAAAATCTTAGCCTTACAGATCTTCAGTTTCAAACTTTTGTTCATATTTCGGTATTCCTTATTATAAAATTTCTAACATCTTAAACGGGGTGCTTTCTTAAGTCCATTTTCTGAATTTTATACCGGTGCTTCTTCCAGTTTAAAATGACTATGAATCACCTGGGGAACTAATTAAATTGCAAGTTCTGATTCAGTAAGTCTGTGGTGGGAATACAGATTCTGTCCTTTCAATCAGCTGCCAGGTTGCTTGTTTGAGCTCCTTCCTTTGAGTAACCAGGCTCTGGATCAAACTTCTGATAATGTCTTATGTGAGTACCTTGAGGCAAGGAATTAAGCTGCTTTGTCTCATAAATGCTATCTGCATCACCCAGTACCCAGATATCTATTTATAAATAGCTGTATTTTTGAACCTAAAATTCAGACACACAGTATGACAATGATATATATTTAAATTTGGAACTATCCTAGAAAATCTGGACTACATGTATGAATGCCATATCTACAATGTTAATATGTAATAATTATATTACATATAGATATATTACAAATACTAAATTTAAAACAATAAGTTAACCTCAGTAAAAAAATAGCCATCAGTGCTGTGGAAAATACAGTAAGAATGTTTACATAAATTTAGTTAATAAATTTATTAATTGTTCTCTTTTACTTCAGGTATTAAGTATCATCTGGCCTTTGGCTCAGACTCATAGATATAAAATTAACTCCAACTCTAACTCTTTTCTATCTGAAGTGCAGAATAGGTAAAACACACATATACACAAAACACCAAGAAATAAAAATAACAAAAAGTCTAGTTTGCAAATGTGGCAAATACTGAAATAAGAGGGTTAAATTCTATCAGGGACAGCAAATGAGTCACATTTATCAGAGTCGCCTCTGACTGACAGGAAGGGGCTGCCTGAATGCTATTGAGAAATAAGAGCCTGTGACCAGGTTTAATGGGAAGAGTGTACAACTGATTTACCACCTGCCATAGGCCTGGGCAGAGGATCATAACACACTTACCTATGATTCCTGAATATGAGACAAGGGTCAGAGTTCAAATTTTTTTAAATAAAATCTCAGACTTTCACTTTACAAACAAATATGAAATAATCTTAGGATCATAAATCTTTACCCAAAACAAACAAATAACAACAATAAAAAATCTGTAAATATTTTAAAGCATACTTTTATTCAAAATAGCTGACTTGGGGTATAAACTATATCCATAAAACTTACAGGAATAAACACAAGATACTCAACATTGCCTCAACAATTCCATCTTAAGTGATGCTGGAGATACTCTCCCATCCCCCAGCTACCTCTTCTGTTTATATTGCCTTAGTAACTGACATCAGTTGAAGAACTATTGCCAAAAAGTACTCAGGGCCTCCTGCGTCAATCAGTAAGTAATGGCAACAGTCCAGAAATGTAGATGCCAACAGTTCCCATTCTTTATTTGCCATTCTTTACAATGAAAAGTTTAGCAACTGCAAATCACTCTGGCCCTGATTTTGTGGTTTATGCAATCACCAAACTGGAATCCCAGCCAAAAAATCCAATGTTTCTCCTTTTTCTTTTTTCCTTCTATTTTTAGCACACGCCTGGGTGTGTTTAACTTCGTGCTACAATTGTAATGAGAAACAGACATATGCATACAAACTCAGCAGTGCTTATGTGGATTCCACAATGGCATTTTGTTAGGTTGTTAGAGGAAATTAGTTCTAAATTATATATAATTGCTATCCAATCCAAGAATGACAGTCACCGAGTTTATCATAGACTCCTTGATAACTAGAGAGTGTTTTAATCCCTTTTAAAAAATCAATACAGGAATAAAAGATTAAAAAATAAACTTAACATACCACATGATGTAGCAATGTCACAAATTAAATTAATTTCATCCAGTGGTAATCTCCAGGAGACACATTCTTCAGTAAAGTTTAGGGATCTCTTTTCATGTCTTTCTATTGGATACTTCTGTATGTTCATAAACACTGGACCCTATAATAAAGTAGTTGTTTGAATTAAGAAATTTGATAGTCACAAAAACATAGAAAAGCTAGAGTTCTTCCAAAATATAGAATGTATATTTTGAGTATTTAATGTGGATCTACTCCACATTTTATTTTCTGACATAGTACTTATAACAATAATATTTCCATACTTGTATTTATAAATGCTTTCTATACGTGCTATCTTGGTTAATGATTTCTCGTTTTCTTTTGTTTTTAATCACAAAATATACCAGATGTAAAATCCCACAAGATTTCTCACTACTTTATTCCTTGCCAAACCAAGAGCCCACTTCAAACTCCATATATCAGGAATTAGAGTGGTCCAAACCAGAATGACTTATAAATTAATGAGCCATGTTCTAATATGTTTCCTTTATAAAGAATGATTTTTTTATATCATAACAAAGAAACGTAAGGGTTGAATATGAGTCTTTTAAATGAAATGTGAAAAAATATGACATTTGAAATTAATTTTTTAAAACCATACTTACTGACATTCATTAATGTTACTTATGAAAGAGTATTTCACACATGGTGATAATTATTCAATAATAAACATAGGCAGAGAAACTAAATTAATGATATTATGAATATTAGTACTGGGTACTTGGAGTTCCTGGAAGAACTCCATGGATGTAACTAATATTTCAATGATTTGCATGATTATCTTTAGTCTTTAGTCAAAAATATTTGAGCTAGATATTGGCATCCACATCCCATCTCATTTGATCTAGTCCATGCATCAGGGACGAGAAGACGACTAACAAATGCATTTGTCACACTCCCTTGAGAAAGATTTTGGAAGTGATTTTGGTTCTGCCAATTAAATACACTTGCATGAGATCTGTAAGACAGAACAAAGGGAGTGGGCATCTTCCTGCAGCCATAGCAAACAAGGAAAATCTAAAAATATAAGCAGAGATTCTGTCCTTTATTGCAAGTTTGATACATGAGGGCCTGCAGGGGAAGTCTGACCCATTACTTGTTTTTTTAAATACAATTTTAGCAGAACACAACCACATTCATTTGTTTACATATTGCCATGACTGCTTTTGCGTTATGGTGGCAGAGTTGAGTAGTTGCAACAGAATCTGTGCAACCACAAAGCCTACAATATTTACTTTTTGGCCATTTACAGAAAAAGTTTGCTGACTCTGCCTTCCTGTGCAACTCCCAGCTACAGGATGACAGCACTTGCAGAATCACTGACCCTGAAACTGACTAGCCTCTGGCTGCAAGTCTTCCTGTCCTTCTAATGATTTTACAAGCACCTTTTCCCCCATGATAAAACCCTTTCTGCTTGAAATACCTAGAGTGATTTTAATTGCAACTAATGACTAATCCTCTTTTCCTTTACCTTTTCACATGAAGACATTATGTGTCAACAATATATGGCTAAAAAGAGGCAGGCAATTCATAAAAGCACAAAATTTTAACTCTGTTAGCAAACCAAAGTAAAGGCAAATATAACAGAGCAACAGTCCTAGGAAAAAGTCCTAGGAAAACATACCTGACTATCATAAAACATACATTAGTTCTCAGAAATTTTATCTGTACATTAGGAATTGTCTACATGGAGTTCCTTGTAGACCAAAAAGATTTGAAAGAATAGAAGCAAAAAAAAAAAAAAAAAAAAGTCAGAACAAGTCATTTCTGCAAGATCTATTGTATGGATTTTCTTCAGGAAAGACATGGAAAAATTTCTAAGAGTCAATATTTTAAGAGAAAATAATAAAGATATCAACCTTTATGTCTATCTGATGAGTTTCTGCTGGACACAGGAGTTTTTGCATTCCATTTCTTGCCTGACCAATCGTCCAGTAACCCATGAATGTCTGCTCTGGTAGAGGCAACCTGTTAAGGATGATTGGAAAAATGAGCATTCTTGTTTCCAAATCATAGAATAACATAATGAGCCCTCTATTATCAACCACACAAATAAATCTAAAGAATGCTTTGTTTAGGAGAAAATTATGCTTCATTTTATTAAAAAAAGATGATGATTAGAATACACATTAAGATGAAAAAGATTCCACATTTCAGAAATACAGAAGGTGGGGTCCTATCCCATATTTACCTCAAAGACAAACATAATTAAGATTCACACATTTTTTCCTTGAATTTGTAAAATGTTCAATAATAACTATTAATTTCTAATATAGCAAATAGAGCACAGATAGTCATTTTTAAAAACTGGAGCAATCTATCAAAATTTTCAATTTATTCTTTTAAAGTTTGAACCAAGTAATAATAATTAGTGTGCAGTATTATTAGGCCCATGTTTGTCAGTTATACAGGGCAAGTTTCATAGACTTTCTTTTGGCATTTTAACTTCTTTCAGTTTGCTTGATACATAATATACATACAGAAATGCCTATATAAGCCTGTTACTCATGTAAGTGTAACATTAAACACATCTGAACCAAAGAAGTAGCACATCAGAAACCCTCTTGGGACCACATTTTATAGCTATTCCCACCAAGAAAGCTAGGATCCTAACTTCTAAAGGAATAATGCTATGTTTAATTTATTTTAAAGTTTTTAAAAAAGCAAATATGACAAAGCTAAAGTATAAAATTGTAGACAAATTTGAGAATCAAGGCTTCGCTTCCAAATTATACTAATTTGACTTTGAACTTTTTAAAAAAAGGAATCATTGATTTGTCATTTAACCCATTAGAAATTTCTTATTCCATGACAAACTGAATTCCAAAAAATAATAACTTATACTTTCAAGTTTTCTAAAAATAATAGGCTCATGGCTACAACTTAAAGGTGCTTGCAGTCAATCTGATGGACATTAAAGAGAGTACAGATTTACATTTAGAAATAATTTTATTTTCAGTAAAGAAATAGTCTGACAAAAATTTCTTTATGTTTAGTAAGACCATATTAGGCTTTGATTTTTTTTTTTTTTTTTGCTTAATATAAAAATCTAAACATTCAGGCAGAATATGCTTGTTGTCCCTTTGAAATGCTAATGTTTGACATAAGAGGAAAGAAAAAGAAATTCCCACTGAAATTCTTCTAAGACAGGTCTCTCCAAAAGGCACATGTGCTTTCATATCTATTATCCAAAATACATTTTAAGTACCTGAACAATTATACTGACTTATGACCCATGTACTTCCATCTTTTCACTGGCAAAAAGTGTGGAGTGTGCTGGGGGCGGAGGGAGGCCAGTGATGAGTTAGGGGATTGACTATAATTGTATTCTCTTTTGAATATTATGAAAATGCATTTTTGTGTCAACAGGGCAGATCTTTAAAATATATCCAAGGCTCAGGGTCTCTCTTTGCTAGTTTAGGGAATGAACTATATTCTTCATTTGCTTTCATAAAGGAAAATAAAGTCTCAAATATATAAGGAGAAAAATAAAGGAAATAAATACATTAATTACTCTTTACCAGAGAAGACACAGAATAAAAAAATGCAAAGAGAGCTGGTTTTTAGTTTTGGTTCTTGTATTAACCAGCTATGCAAATTTGGGAAGGGGAATATCAGTTAATGTTTCAGTATTTTTTTTTTTTTTCTGGTACTGGGGATTGAACCCAGGGGCACTCAACCACTGAGACATATCCCCAGCCCTATTTTGTATTTTATTTAGAGACAGGGTCTCACTGAGTTGCTGAGTGTGGCTTTGAATTCATGATCCTCCTGCTTTAGCCTCCCAAGCTGCTGGGATTACAGGCGTGAGCCACCATGCCCAGTTTAACTTCTTCATTTGTAATTTTCAAAATTCCTTATGGTTTAGAAAATCTGAAGCAAGAAGAAGGAAATGTCAGTGATAGTTTAAAAGGCCAGCATTAACTTGTTGCTCTGCTTGAAAATATGTATACCTCCCAATAGAATAGGTGTCCTGATAGATAGGTACGCTTTATTAAAGCATATACTAAGAAGCTCTAAATACACCTAAATTGGTTCTTTGAAAACAAGAGAACCATTTCACATCTTAAAATCTAATTACAGGTGAAGAATTGTGTAATAAAAATGATTCTGGTTGACAACTAGCCTGAAACATGGACCTAGGATTAGGAATGTCGTTCACTAGTAGAACACTGGCTAACAATATGCAAGGTCCTGAGTATGATCTCCAGCATATGCATGTGCACATGCAACACACACACACACACACACACACACACACACACACACACTCTTAATGTATCCATTGATAATATTACAGAAATAACATTCAAATACTGAAAAGGGTGGGGGACACCCCTTCATCCATTTGAGAAAAAGTAACTGCTCAACTTCCAGTTCCTACTGACAATGCCAGGGATGTGCATAAAGTCTGCTTTAAACTTGCCAACTCACTCTAAATAACAGTCATGGAAATTACAGGCTGCCTGGCTCTATATAAAAATAGCACTGGCTGTTTGGTTGGCAGAGTACGGGAAGGACCTTCAGGTACCCCATATAGAATCTATTCCGAAACCACATAACAGGATGCTACTGGCAATGACAACTATAACTGAAAGACACACAAGCAGGGTGTCCTGGAGTTGCACAACCAAACTGACTCCATCCTGTTCCTTGGTCATATGAAATACTTTCTCTAGACTCTTAATATGGACTTTAGGCTGTCCAACAGAGGTAAACCATAGCCCCTTGTTTATTTTTCTCTCACTAAGCCCTCCCAAAGAACTGTGGAAAAAATTGACCATTCCTAACTTTCTCCCCTTCAGTATGTTAGTGGGCAGGGGAAAGGAGAAGCATTATACTTGGATGCATGAGTAAGCTTTGGAATTTGAAACACACTCAACGTTAATTCAGGGGTACTTCTAAATTAATAACCAGTTAGCAAAAGGCCTTATATTCTATAACTGAAATCTGTCATCCAAGTCTACCAGAGTTCAGTTTTTATACCTGTCTTGATTGAAACAATAATGGTATTTTTCCATGGTTTTAAGATCCCATCGCTTGCATTGCTTAACTTTGTTAAAGTCTTAGCTAGAATGATATCTGGATTTGATTTTAAGCGGGGAGGAGAATGAACTTAGGCCTATAAATAGCATTGCTTTTTATCTTCAGTATCATTCATGAATTTATGCTTGTTGAAACAATGATGTATTTTAATTTATATGTTGTGATATTTTTTAATCCCTTGTGGAAGTAATAATAAAGATCTGGAAGTAAAAATTTCAACTAAAAAAAGGTGAATATCAAAATTATGACTCAGATCAAATTATAATACTTGAGTAAGTTGCAGAAAGAAACAAATTCATAGCCTGATGCATATAGACAGCAAAGTCAAGTCCCATCATCTGAATGACATATAAGAGATTTGTCTTAGACCGTTTCCATAAAGAGGTGAGCCAGGGTTTTAAAGAGCATGTTCTGGCAAATTTCTGACTTCTCTGAACCTTTGCCAAAACTATTTCTGGAGTATGAAGGAAAACACATGAAAAAGATTTGGATCTTTTTAGGGGCATTATGCAATTGGAAGTTGTTGACATACCTATTATCAACAATTCCTAAAACATTTCCGTACCATAAGAACTACTAATTTTCACAGGAATAATGAAACCCTTCAGGGTAGTTCCATCAACTCAAAAACTTGACAATCACTACCATCTTTGAGAAGAAACAGAACTATTTCAATTTTAGTAGGCCTCACTTGTTTCTAATATTTTACGTCTAACACCTGGTAAAAATTTTCAGGTTGTCCAACTGAGTTCACTGAAGATTTTCATAGAATATTTCTCACAAATACTTACAGTTTTGGTTCTTACACCATCCTCTTATTCTCCAGCCAATCTATGCCTTAGTCCTACTTGAACTGCTTATTGCTTTTCTTTAGCATGCCATGCATTTTCATGCATCCCTGAAGTCATTCCTTCTGCACAGAATTCCTGCTATGGTCTCCTTGGTGAGATCCTTCTCACTCCAAACATCCAATCCAAATGCATCACCCTGCTACATTTATTTATACAAACTCCCTGCTCTCCTGGGTTTCTATGTAAATTTACACACATGAAACTCTAGGAATAGAGTTCTATAGAATCTATAATTTTCAAATTTAAGGACATGAGAGAAAATACAATTTTACGAAGAGCAAGCCAGAAGTGAACCTATGAAATCCTTCATAATCATTATTATATTTACTAAATTAAGAAGTCAGCACATTAGAAAGAAAAGACAAAGCCCCTTTAAACGTATTAAATTAGTAGTAATGGGAACCATTAATTCCCAGTAATATCTTCCCTTGTTTGCTAGAAACTTCGGAGTCATACTTCCCAACAACTCACATGCTGCTGGCCAATTAATTTTGCTCTGCTGGAAATGATGTGCACATGAGTATGTGTTTTCCCTTTCTGTGCCTGGTTCTACACTGAGATATTATGGCTTTCACTTAATGACTTAAGACTTGTGCACCTCTGCCACCTAGATCCTGCAGAGGTCACAGAAATACAGAGTAATTTGGATGTATGAGATGGAAAAGATTTGGAGAAAATTTGCTGCTCTTGGCAGGTACTTTTCAAATACACTCCCCAAGCCCCAGAATGACACTGTGCAGTCTCAGTGCTGTTGCCCAGCATTACTTTGTGCCAAAGCAGATGTTGTTAACTTTCTCTACACATCTCTGTTTTTTTTTTCTTTTTTTTCCTCCTACAGAAGTTGCCAAACTACAGTTCTGGGGTCTGGATTTCCTTTCCTTCATCTTTCTTCAAGTTGTACTGCAAAAATGTCTTCTCCTTTTCTGCCATCTACTTTATCAATCACATCTTAAGTGTTTTCGAATCATATATTCTTTCTTTTTATAATCACCCACAACAAGAATGACTGAGACTGAAAACTTTCTCAGTGGTTAAAAATTTTCCTAGAGAAAAATTTCCTGTATTTCCCAC